CCGCCTAGGCTCCTCCCTCTGCTTGCCCCCCCCTCCCCAGGGGACTTGGGTGGGGGGTGGGGGGGGCCGCCGGGGGGCGCCCCGAAAGGGCCTCGGAGCGGGGGGGGAGCGCGGAGAAGCGAAAGCGGCGCCCAGCCCGAGACGCGCCCGCGGAGCGCAGGGCCGGAGCCGCGCGCTCTCCCGCTCTCCCCTCCCCGCCACCCGCTCCGTCCTCCGCCAGGCGCGCTCCCGAGCCGGCCGAGCCAGGAAGAGCCGCCGGCGCCTCCTCCTCCTCCTCCTCCTCCGCCAGCCGAGGCCGGATTCCCGCCCGGCGCCTTCCTCTCCTTCCCCCAGCCATGTTCGGCCAGCAGCATCTGCTCCGCTTGCAGCACCTCTTGCAACAGCAGCAGCAGCAGCAGCAGCAGCAACAGACCCCGGCGCCTCCCCAAGCGACCCCCAGCCGGTAAGCCCCCGCTCAGGGCCGGCCCGGCGGCCCGGGTTGGATCCCCGGCCGGTGGGGAGGGGAGGGGAAGAGTCAGGGGGAGGGGGGGGGAGTCCCCGCCGCGCCCCCTTCCCTGCGCCCCGAGCCGGCCGGCGCCCCGCCCGCCTCCCCTGGCCCGTGCGTAACGGTGCCAAAAGCGCCCCGCGCCCCGGTGGGGAGATCTGGGGGAGGGGGGAGTGCCGCGCCTTTGGGGGTGTGGGGGTGTCACACGGGGTTCCTCTGCCTGCCCCCCCACACACACACCCCAAAGACAAGGGGAGGCGCCGCCCAGCCCGAAGGAAGCGACTGTCTTCCTTGGAGAGCTCCCCAAACTTCCTGAAGACTCATCCACTCCTCTTCCCATCCTCCCCAGCCTGCCTGGAGCTGCCCCCCCCCTCTCCTTACTGAAGGAGGATAGCCCCATGACCCATAAGCAGGGCTTGCAAACTCTTGACACCCCCACCTTAAAAAAGAACAGACCTCCCCAGAAAGAATGAAGTCACAATACCGTTAAGATTAAGATTGGTAAAATGTGAAACAGAAGGACAACAATAGCAAAACAATAATAATAATACTAGTAATAATAAGGATGATGAATAGACCTCCCTCCCACCCTTGCCTCTCTCTTGTCTTTGGGATTACAATGCCCATCGCTCCCACCCACCCTTCTCCAGGGAGTTAGTGTTGGAAGCTGGCTGAGGAGGATGGGTACGTGTGGGCTTTCTTTTTCACTCGTGCCCAGACACACACAGACACACAGACACACAGACACACACAGACACAGACACACACACACACACATTCCTTTGTGTTTGGGCAAAGGATGAACTTTTGCGGGAGAGGCTGTAGAGGGGGTGAGTGGGGTCCTCATTTGGCGACCGCAGGTGGAGACCCAGTTGTTAAGCAAGAGCGGTCGCTGGGAGAGAAATGCTCACGGCCCACAAGTGGCCTCCAGCTAGGATGCTTGCCCACCCTGGAGGTTATTGCCAGGGCTGTGGGAACGCACGGGCCTGATGGGCATTTGCCTGTGGACCCCACGAGCATCGGAGCCCCCATGGTGATCTGTGTATTTTACTGCATTTTGTATTAATTATTAATAAATTATTAATAATTTATAATGATAAAACCATCTTTATATTTAAGTTATACACAGTTACAATCTTTCTTCACCTAATTTCCCCTTCTTCTTGCTAACCCCTCGTAAAATCTATTCCATGTTAGGTAATATTCTATGTCTTCTTTGTCCTTTATTTGTAATGTCAATCTATCCATCTCTGCACAGTCTTAATATTTTCCTCGTCTTGATGGAGCGTTCTCATTTTCCCAATATGGTGCAAATACAACCCTTGGCAGCTGTCAATACAGTGCAAAACGAGAAATATAGTCCCTTTATCGTAGCCCTCCGGGATTATACCCAACAAAAAATATTTCTGGTTTCAGATCTGTAACGTTGCTTCATCGTCTTTTCCAACCACGCATGTATTTTCGTCCCAATATTTTCTTGCTTTCATACCAGTCCATCACATATGGTAATAAATCCCTGGGATCCGATTACACTTCCAACACTTGGTGGATACGTTGCTAAACATTTTTGCTAATCTAAACATTTTATAGAGATTTTCCTTATATGCAGTAGAAACGTTGCCAATCGCAGCTGGATACTGTTTGTTTGTTTATTTATGATGAATTTCTTATTTATTATTTGCTGTCCATCTCGTTTCCAAGCGACTCTGACTTCTGCTTACAACATATCATGTCACTGTTGGAGTCAGACTCTGAGGGAGAGGAGGAACAGCTGACAGGGAGTGGAGGTGTGACTCCGGAGGTTGTGGAGGAGGCTGGGGAAGGGCAGAGACTGGCTGGGCAGTCAGAGGAAGAACCAGGCCCATCCCTTCTGCATCCTAGGGCACGCAGGAACGGAGAAGGGAACAACTTGGCTTACGGGAGAGGAAGCGGCCATGATCCCCCTCATTGGTTGCAGCTGGGGAGAATAGTATATTAGGGAGCGTTGCCAGAAGCAAAGTGTGTGTTATTTTGGGCTGAAGTTATCTTGGTTGCCATCCTTCCAACAGACTGTGCCGTGTTATCTCCTTGAAGTTGGTAATTACTTATCCTGGTCCATTGTGGAAATTCCTTCATTGTAGTTTGTTTTAGTTTTTTATTTCTCCTTCATCTGCTCATTAAGTTTGGACATTTGTAATCTGCATTAAACTGAAATAGTTGCAATTTAATCAGTTTTGGGCCTATTTTGGACACGACCACCTGGGACATTATAAGAATACAGAACCGAAAGTGCAGATGGCAAGAGTTTTTTCAGATAAGCACGTCGAAGTACCAAACAGCAGGATGGCACAGTGAAATAGGGAAGTTACCCTGGTAAGAGATGAGAGAAAAAGGGTATATAAGAAGGGGTTATAATCCAGGAATTAAAAGATAAAGAAATATCAATGTATTATGAGAGCTGGAACTGCTGGTATGAATGATTAGATCAAAGATGAGCTACATAACATTGTAAAAGAGGATAAGTTATAATTGTAGGGGTAATTATATATTCGCATTAAGGATTACTTGTAAACATGGCATAAAATAAGGGTAGAAATAATGACCCACAAACTGTCAAAGATGAAATTGTTTTTAATCACTTTTTGATTTCTTTTTACTTTTACTTCTTTTTTCTTTTTCCCTCTTCTCTCTTTTACTTCTCAACCCTGTTTCGCTTCTTCTTTTCTACATTTGTGTATGTGTTGTTTGTTTACTTTAATTGTAAAATTAGTAAAGGTCGTTTAAAAAAAAAAAGGAAGGGGTTTTATCTCAGATCATGGCCACTTGGTGGTAGCTGCTCCTTGCTGGACCTGGCTATTATCTCTGGACCTCATTGCAATGAGTTGTTGATGTACGTATCATCTTGCGGAAAAGGCTGTTTGTACCACGATGGCTTTCACGTTCCAGATTGCTCACAAAAAAAGCTTTTGATTCAAAGCAGAAATGAGGTTGCATGCTTGTATTTCTTGTTCCGCTTGTCTCGTTTTATGACACTCGGATCGAACTCACAGCTTGCTGATTGTGAGGCGAGAGCTCTACCAGGGGAACAGGGGTCGCCAACCTTTTGGACCTCAGGGACCACCAAACTCATAATTTTAAATCCCGCGGATCAGAGACCCTGGGAAAATCCCCCCCAAAAAGTCTGTGGGAAAACTCCCCACCCCGTTTTCCTACCGATCGATCGTTCTTTATTTGGGATCGCAGGATACTGTCTCCAGCTCTGTTCTCAGGGGGAGAGAAGAGGGAGGGAGAGACTTTTGGCTTCATGCAAGGAAAGCAGCAGAAGCAGCAGAAGTCTTTCTTTCTCTCCCCCAAACTCTGCCAGAAATGAGTCTTTGGTTGGCCCACTGGTTGGTGACCACTGCTCTAGACTACTGCACCACTCCACCCAAATGGTCACTAAATGAATTTGTTATAAATCGAGGAATACTTATATTCTGGTCCTTCCCCCCCCCCCCTCCCTCCCAGGACACCATCTCAGCAACAGATGTTAACTCTGCAGGCACCCAGTCCAGCATCGCTACTCAACACCAACCCCGTGTTCCAGCGAGCGCTTCTCCTGCACCAAATGCAAGGTACAATCTCTTCCACATTTCTCCCTCCGTCCCTTCCTTCCGGCCTGATCCGGACCAACACCTCTACCCGAGTTTTACGCAGCGTTCCCGACAACCTTGGTTTTAATTTTGGGATGGTATCTTCAATATCCAGTTTTTAAGTCGAGGAAGCCTAAAACTGTCCTGGATTTGTTCGGTTTGACCATGAAAGGGAAGAAGCTCCACCCTGTAATTTCTAAATCCTGGTTTATAGCTCCATTTTTCTTTGGCCAACGATTCAGAAAACCTGGGTGATCTATAGATACAAATACGGATGAGGCGAAACGTGGCTCAAAAGAGAGAGAAATTGGAGTCCTAGTGGACAATCCCTTAAATATGAGGTAGTCACGTGCGGTGGCAGCCAAAAAAGCTAACACCAGTTACATAAACAGAGACATAGAATCAAGATCACATAAAGTATTAGTTCTGCTTTATTAAAGCCTTTAGTAAGGCCACACCTGGGATTCTGTATCCAGTTTTGGTCACCACATTACAAAAAAAAGATGTTGAGACTTTGGAAAAAAGTGTAGAGAAGAGCAACGAAGAGGATCAAAAGCCCGGAAATTAAAACATATGAAGAATGGCTGAAGGTAGAGAAAAAAAAGAATTGGAGGGACATGATAGCAGTATTCCAGTATTTGAGGAGCTCCACAAAGAAGAGGAGGGGGTGTCAACTTATTCTCCAAAGCACTAGAAGACAGGACAAAAAAATAGAAACTGAACAAGGAGAGAAGCAACCTGGAATTAAGGAGAAACTTCCAAACAGGGAGAACAATTAACCAGTGGAACAGTTTGCCACCAGAAGTTGTGGGTGGCTCCATCCCTGGAGGTTTTTAGAAGAGACTGGACAGCCACTTATATAGGGTCTCCTGCTTGAGCAGGCGGCTGGACTAGATGACCTACAAGGTCCCTTCCAACTCTCATCTATTCTAATCTTCTGGCTGCCACTTTTTGGTTTCTACCCTGTGTAACTTGCAAGGTTTTTGCAGGGAGCCAAATAATAAGGATCTTCGGGATCCTTTTTCAGTTCTCGGTGTTAGGTGAGGTTTCTACCTCGGTGAACTGAACCCTGAGCCGCCTCTGGGCACCGGCGGTTTACATTTCGGAGTATTGGATGCCGAGACATTTGAGAAAAGGGCCCCGTAGCTGAATAATTCAAGAGTTTCTCCATTTATGGCCCTTTCAAATGTCTTCCTTGGCTGAAGCAGATGTGCTTCCTGCCATCCGGATATCGGCTCAGGGTTGTTTCAGCAAATTGCAGGTATGACTCTTAAAAGCGTCTGGATGGATCTGCAATAAAACCAGAGGAAATGGATATATTTTATGGAATTGGTCACCATTAGAACCGGTTGCTCCGGATGCAGGGGGGGCGAACTCCAGTTGTGTCCACCACACTCTGCTTTTCTTGCCAGCCTCCTGACCTGACCCGTTTTCGCTGTTATTATTTATTAGATTTTTAAGAACAGATTAACAGAGTTGGAAGAGGCCTTGTAGGTCATCTAGTCCAACCCCCTGCTCAGGAAGTAAACCCTATACCATTTCAGACAAAGGGCTCTCCAATTTCCTCTGAAAAACCTCCGGAAAGGAAGCACCCACAACTTCCGAAGGCAAAGCTGTTCCACTGGTTAATTGTGCTCCCCGTAAGGAAGTTAATTCCAGGTTGCTTCTCTCCTTCATAAGTTTCCATCAGTCGTTTCTCATCCTGCCTTCTGGTGCTTTGGAAAATAATTTGACCCTTTCTTCTTTGTGGCAGCCTCTCAAATACTGGAATATTGCTATATCACTCCTAATCCTTCTTTTCTTTTTATTATCCCATCGTTATTAATTTTTAATTGTTCATTTTATATAACTCAAGGCAGAGAACACCCTTAACATTTCTTCCTCCTCCTATTTTCCCCACAACAGCAACAAACAAAGTCACCCAGCCAGCTTTCACACCTTAGGCAGGGCTATAACACTCACTTATCTCCTGGTTTCTAGGCCGGGCTCCTGAACGAATAGAATAGAATTGGAATTGGGAATGGAATTGGGAATGGAATTAGAATTAAAATTAGAATAGAATAATATAGAATAGAGTAGAGTAGAGTAGAGTAAAGTAAAGTAGAGTAGAATAGAATAGAATTCTTTATTAGCCAAGTGTGATTGGACACACAAGGAATTTGTCTTGGTGCAAATGTTCTCAGTGTCCATAAAAGAAAAGATACACTCGTCATGAGTCAAGAATCATCAGGTACAATACTTAACAATAGTCATAGAGTACAATAAGAATAGAATAGAATAGAATAGAATAGAATAGAATAGAATAGAATAGAATAGAATAGAATAGAATTCTTTATTGGCCAAGTGTGGTTGGACACACAAGGAATTTGTCTTTGGTGCATGTGCTCTCAGCGTATATAAGAAAAAATAAAATACATTCATCAAGAATCATAAGATACAACACTTAGTGATAGTCATAGGTTACTAATAAGCAATCAAATCACACTAGGGAACAAACAACATAGATTGTAAAGGTACAAGCAAAAAGATTATAGTCACAAGTGGGAGGAGATAGGTACTAGGAAGTGTTATTATAATCTAGTAGTAGAGGAATGATAGTAATACAGTCTTAGTAAATAATCTGACAGTGTTGAGGGAATTATTTCTTTAGCAGAGCGATGGCGTTCAGGTAAAAACTCCCCTTGTGTCTAGTTGTTGTGGTGCGCAGGGCTCTATAGTGTTGTTTTGAGGGAAGGAGTTGAAACTGTTTAATGTCCGGGATGTGAGGGGTCCGTAGATATTTTCACAGCCCTCTTTTTGACTCGTGCAGTATATACAGGTCCTCCGCGGAAGGCAGGTTGGTAGCCATTGTTTTTTTTCCGCGGTCCTAACTATCTTCTGAAGTCTGTGTCTGTCCTGTTGGGTTGCAGAACCAACTCGCCGTCCATTATGTTTCCAATGCCATCCTAAAATTTGTTTCCTTTGCATTGTCTTTTCTGGGGTTTGGTCCTTCCCACCCAAGGTGATTGGGCTAACAGCCCAAGCCTTGCTTAAGTTAACGTCCTGGGTTCGAAACGCACCCTGAAATGGTAGCCCCTGTGCCAACCGATCCCCCGTAACCATCAGAATCCAGATTCAGTGCAAAGTTGGGTTCGTTCGGAAAAGCCATGGTTGAGCAGCGGCTGGAAATTCCTTTGGGAGACAGGAAGCCTGGGAGGCAGCCAGCCACCTTTGGAAGGCCCCAAATCTTGTACAATGTCTGATGTGCTTTCTCTCTCTCTCTCTCTCTCTTCCTTTCCTGGCTGTTTGTTTTTTTGGGGGTGGTTGTGTTTGTGGGGGTCTTACAGGTAACCTAAGAGGCTTCAATGTGGCCACCGCTCCTGTATTACAGCAGTTCTTCCCTCAAGCAACCCGACATTCTCTCCTGGGGCCCCCACCTGTCTCCCTCAAGCCCCCCCAGCTGGGGTTCCCAGCCCTCCCATTTCATCGCCAAAACCGGCCCTTCCGTAAGGTGAGTTCGCTCTTCGATCTGGATTGCTACCTTGTGTTTACGTCTCACCGATCCTCGCAGAGACCTGTCCTGGTGTGAACAACACCCCTGCCAGGTAGGCAGGGTCCAGAGGGAGCCCTTAGCAGTCCCGGGGTGAACGGATCCTCTGTGTTTCTGGTCTAAAATTGTGAGGACCCAAAGGGGCGTGGCACAAAGACAACACGGATAATCAGTAGGAGTCGCTTTATTAGCTCCAACTTTGCCCCCCAATGTCCTGGTTACCTTCTGGCTGGAGAAAAACTGTCCCAGGAAACAGCCTTTGACGGCAAAGAATCAAGTCCAAAATATGGTCAGCAAAAACTGTAACTATAAGTCCAATCAAGTCAAGATGAGGTCATTAGTCCAGCAGGAATTCCAGACGTGAAGGAACGGCAAGAACTCAACACGGTTGGGGAGATGCCAGGAACACAAATAACCAAAAATCAACACAAGATAAACTCACATTTGTTCCCAGTAGCTGCTGCACTCAGCGTGCATCTCTTTTAAACTCTCATTCCCAGGTGTGGCTAATGAAGGGAATCAGGGCCCATTCCTCCCCCGTAAGCCATGCAACCCATGTTGCTCTCTTCTCCGTTCCTCCCCGTGTGTCCTAGGATGAAGAGGGGGTGGGCCTGGGTCTTCCTCTGCCTCCGTAGCCTGGCCATTTTTCGCCCTCCCAGAGGCTCGAGGAAAGCCTCCGGAGCCCGAGGAGGGCGAAATGGCTCCCCGCTGTGGTGCAGGAGGCCAACTAAGCCACACCCACCATGGCTACATCTACCCAGCAACCGGGCAAAAAAAACCTGTTGCTAAAATTTTTTGAAGCCCACCCCTGGTTCCCCTCATCCTCTTTCCATCCCACGTGCCCGACTGGAAGTGTTTAGCTCCTGCTCTGGGTTATTAATTGCTCTTCCTCAGCTTTTCTGGATCCTGCTCCCCAGAAGTGTCCTGCAAAAGGAGTTATGAAAAGCTGTCCTTGCAATTCACCTCTTCTGTGTTTTTTTTTTGCTTTTGTTAAAAAAAAACACTCTTTTATCCTGCAGGATTTTCCCAGGGTCGCCGAGAGGAAGCGAGAGGCAGATGGCACCTCATCATCCATACAAGGGCCAGGCGAGGAAGGGGCTACACCAGTGGGAAAGCAGTCCGGCTCTCCCACTTCAGGTAAGTCAAGCCCTCTCTTGGTATCTCAGAAAGAATCGGGAGGGTCTTCAGAGGCTGGTGTCAGCTAAAAAAATACTCCTTTGGTGTTTTAGTTGCCAGCAGAAAGGGAGTGCGGGAAAGCAGTGCATTCCTTAAATGCCTCAGATAATCGCCTTGGCAGCCGAAGCTGTTGGCGCGCTAGATTATTACTGGAGAGCATGATTGATGACTCTTGGCTATGGATGTGTCCCATTGGAGCATACACATCCAGGGTGGGGGGAAGGCCTTAGTCAAAAGGGGAAATGAATGATGCATTTTAGTGCCGGCTGCATCCAGCTAACGCCAACATGGCCGCTCCTAATAAATCAAAAAAATTTTTAAACTCTGATTGATGCAGCTAGAGACTTATGATTTGAACGGGGGTAGATCTGTTGGGAGCCCTGACAGCTGGTTTGTCTGGCAGATGAATTACTGGATGAGGGAGGAGACCGAGTCGATTCGTTTTAAATCCAGTCGATTGAAATCGCTCGTAAAAGGGCTGGATGGAAACCAACTCAATTTAAACCATAATTTTTTTAAAGAGCAACTGTGTCATCTCTGTCCCTCAGCAGCTCCTCTGACCCACTGTTGAACTCACCAACGGTCCCCATATTGTAGAATCTACAGCCTTGCGCTACATAACTAAGTTCCATTTCATGCTGAAATTATTCTTGTGTCTTAAATAGAAAACTATTGTTCTGACCGAGGCTTCCCAAGATCATGGAAGCAGACTCCTCGTCCCGGTAAAACCTCTTTTATTTAGGTTAAAGGGAATTCCCCTCCAGCCAAGTCCCGTCAAACAGTCTTTTGTGAGATTTTGGGCTCGACTGGGGCTCATCAAATCTATTTTTCTGCTTTGCAGAGAGCCTCGCGGAGCCTCCTCAAGATGGCGAACCGGTGGCCAAGGTGCCCCGAAGGTAACCATTATTCCTGCAAGGGTCGTCTGAAACTACTTTCTTGGAACGAAATGGAATGGATTAGAACAGAACAGAACAGAACAGGAAGGAATAGAATTAGAATTAGAATTAGAATAGAATAATAATAGAACAGAACAGGAAAGATTAGAATAGAACTAGAATAGAATTAAAATAGAATTAGAATTAGAATAGAGTAAGAATTAGAATTAGAGTAGAATTAGAATAGGATTAGAATAGAAAGAATAGAATTAGAATAGGATTAGAATAACATTAGAATAGAATTAGAATAGAATAGGATTAGAATTAGAATAGAAAAATAATAGAACAGGAAAGACTAGACTAGACTAGAATAGGGAAGGGAAGGGAAGAGAAAGAATTAGGATTAGAATAGGATTAGAATAGAATTAGAATAGGATTAGAATTAGAATAGAAAAATAATAGAACAGGAAAGAATAGAATGGAGTGGAATGGAATGGAATGGAATGGAATGGAATGGAATGGAATGGAATAGAATAGAATAGAATAGAATAGAATAGAATAGAATAGAATAGAATAGAATTCTTTATTGGCCAAGTGTGATTTGACACACAAGGAATTTGTCTTGGTGCAAATGCTCTCAGGGTACATAAAAGATATAAGTGATAAATCATGATCATAGTGATAAAATACATTCATCACGAATCATGGGATGCGACACTTAGTGATAGTCATAGGATACTAAATAAGCAATCAACCTAAATCATACAAGGAAATTAAATAAAACAATATAAAGCGTAAAGATACAAGCAACAAAGTTGTAGCCATAAGTAGAAAAGGAGGTAGGTAATATAGGAAGGGTGAGAAGAATAGTAACAATGCAGTCTTAGTAAATAGTTTGACAGTGTTGTGGGAATTAGTTGTTCAACAGAGGAATGACACAGAGGGGAAAAGCCTGAGAGCTTTGAATTCCTTCTGTGTCCAGTCACACTTGGCCTGTAAAGAATTTTATTCTGTTCTCTTTTTTTTATTCCATTCCTTTCTTCTTCTCCTTTTTCCTCGCCCCGCTAGTGAAGTGGAGATCTCGGACGCTGAAGATGCGCCAGGCCTTCCCAAAACTGAAGAGGCTCAGGCAGGAGGAGAGTCAGAATTCGTGGCAACAGGAACAGGTAGGATGGCCGTGGCAACATTTTGGTGGCCCACGGTCGCCGTCGGCCAGCTTCCGACAAGCAGATTCGAAAAGGGAAGATGGAACTGCCTGATTCGCTTCATGACTGTGGCAAAAAAGGTCATAAATCAAGCAAGCAATGGCTCCACGAATGATTACATCCCTTAGGGAAGGAAATTCCAGCCTCAGTTGTGCTCATAAGTCAAGGACCATCGATACAGTTAGTCCACAACTTACAGAAATTCATTTTAGGGGCCGCTCAAAGTTACGACGAGGCTGAAAAAGCTTTTTCACTTACGACCGCTCCAACGTTGCGGCATCCCCATGTGACTGGGATCAAAATCTACACCCTTGGCAAGTGATTCATATTTATGACCATTGCTGTGCCCCAAGGCGACCTGATAAGCAAAACCAGTGGGAGAAGCCAGATCCACTTAACAACCGTGTTACTAACTTAACAACTGCAGCGATTCGCTTAACAACGGTGGCAAGAAAGGTGGTAAAATGGAGGCCAAGCTCACTTCACAAAGGTCTCACTTAACGACATAAATATTGGGCTGTATTGTAGTGACATGTTGAGGACTACAGCCAGGATAAAGAGTTTTTCAAAAGGCAAGCCTTGGCATGCTAAAGAAATAAAAGTTAGATATTCTTACGAGTTCTTTGTGTCCCCTAGAAAAAGGAATAAATGCTGCTTGGCTGGAGGCCAAGCCAAATATTTTGGGAAAGCTTTTCTGCACGAGCAGTGACTGGACTGGATGACCTCCAGGGACCTTCTATAGCTCAACTTTCTATAGCTCAATAAGCAGGGGTCATGAAGGCCATGGAATCCAGCCAGCATTCAGTGGATATACAGCCAAAGAGAGTCCACCTTCCCTTCTTCCGTCTCCGAGGAGCTGAGTTCAAATCCAAACCCCCAGACTTCCCCTCTCTGTTTCCTAGACACTGGGGAAGGGGACGTCCCCGCGGAGGCTTTGGAGGAGAGCTTTGAAGAGGAGAAGACCTCAGAGGTGAGCCAAAAGGGGTGGGGGAGAGTGAATGTAGGTGGCCCTGAGCTCTTTTGCTGCTAGGACCATCCCCAGAGGGTCTGTGACAATTCACCACAGCCAACTCATCATGGCCAACTCACCACATGCAACTTGCCCTGGCCAACTCATTATGGCCAATTTGCCATGGCCAACTCATTGATGAGTTGGATGTGGTGGATTGGCCATGATGAGTTGGCCATGGCAAATTGGCCACAATGAGTTGGCCATGATGAGTAGGCCATGAGTTGGCCAGGGCAAATTGGATGTGGTGAGTTG